TTCATCATCTTAGTTAGATCAGTTCATGAGATCGTATTTACTAATTTGGTCATGAACACTAGACTGACCACATGGTTTACTGCTTACACTGAAACTTTGGTGTGAGACTTAGTGTTAGACATCCTCTGCTGTTAACTGTGGTGTGACTCACAGGACTAAAGAAATTCTTGGTCAACTAAAGACTAGTAAAGAGCATTTTCAAGTGACAAGACAGATTAAACTATCACTTCATACTACTACAACTGCTAACTCCCTCCAGGCATTCTATATTGTGCTGTTGTGCATATAAATGATCATTTAAAAAAATAGATAATACTGGCCAATCAATTGACAGGGGTCCCATGGTCATGAAAATCCTAGAAAAGTCATGGAAATTGAAAATGTCATTGTCAAGTCATGGAATTTTGTAAATTCAATGAAAGTTTTGGAAAAGTCATGGAATTTTAGTATCTCTTTCAAGCAACTACAGCGTTCTGTTAAGTTTTCATTTGGCTCTTATGATTATTTCCGAATGTATGTGACAACAATAAATGAATGTTAAAAACTATAATACCAAACCATAGAGTGAGCGGAAAGGGTTAACATTTCATATTTAGCCCTAAAAGTATGCTCAATTCTACACATGTAGGGTGCTGTAAAGTCATGGAAAATTCACTTTAAGTCATGAAAAAGTCATGGAAAAGTTTTGAAACTTTGTCAGTGAAAAAGAGTGGGAACCCTGGCTGACTAAAGGATCAAAGAACTAAAGCCTTATTGAACTGTATGGGAAAAATGGAAGCACAGCCTCATAACACCATAGATTAGCTCACTGTATTATGCACCTAAGTCCTGTAGCATTAGATAAAAATAGATGGATCATTTTACACACACCCAAACACATCTTCAGTTATCAGATCAGAAATAATAAATTGCTCTAACAACTGCCGCGTTGACAAACCAATAACCGGCCACAGTTGTCATAAAAATCTGTTATAGATCTCATGCTAGCCGCCCTCGCTGTGTGTACCAGTTGCGTGTGGGGGCAAGGTCACAGGGCTAGACAGGCAGCCAGAGTCTCACACACTCACAAACACATTAACTGATCATGCCGCCACAGGGGGATTAGCGGAGAAGCCGAAAGGGTTAGGAGAATTAGCCCAGAGTCTGCTGTGCCAGAGGATGTGTGCGCACAAAGGACCGCCATGGCACGCAGAATACGAATTATAAGTGATTTCCAAAATTACTTTCTCAAGAGCGGGGCAGCAGCTGTGGCAGAGAGCAAGAGGTCAAAAACACAGTCACACACAAGCGCATGTATAGACTGGAGAATTATGGGGCATAGTATGATGGTAAATCAACATAGTTCAAGTAGTGCGTAGTGTAGTTTTTCATTCATGCATGTTCTCTAATCCTGTTGTGGGGTTGAGGTGAGCTTGTTGTCTTCAGCTGTTAATGCATTTTCACAAATCTCTCCGTAAGCTGTTCAATTCATCTTCTGAATGTTGCCTTCACTGCAAATCATCTACCTGTCTTGCTGGCATTAGCCGTGGGGCTATTTTTCATTTCAAAAACAAATTGCCACCTCATTCCGCATACATTATTTTAAGATGTATTGATTTTATTCTGGAAGTTGCCACAAACATTGACATTATCATTCCAGTTGTATGGTTTTTGCTCTAGGCTGACAGCAAATAAGTTAGTCTGTTTTCAAGCCACACAAAGTATCATATTTTTCAGACTATAAAGCGAAATGTCAATAATGTTGAATTCTCTTGTCTATTTTCATACATAAGGTGCACCGGATTACAAATCACATTAAGCAAAACAAACGGACGACACTTGAGACTGATCCCTTAGCCCAGGCATCCATGATCCATTGGCAGATCGTGGTGTAATTTGCCCGGCATTACCTCCCTGTCTTGGTGAATGTGTATTATGAATGTGAATCTGAGTGGATAATTTAAGTTTTTTGTTGTTGTTTTTTTCCTACAAGGAGGGCTCAAACATACACTGAGTAATAATGTTTTTAATGCAGCTTTGCACACATTTGTTTACATTTTACAGAAACTAAACTTAAAACCGCATGGCTCATTTGAATAAACTATAAGTGATTAAAAAACAGCTCGCTCCTTGCCATAATGCTCCGGCAATCCATCAAGCGGTGCATCTTCGTTGCTTACCAAAGTCATACTAAAACATTTTGACAGATTTTTGAGCACCATGTACCACATAAAATCAGTTCGAGGTCAGTAAGCACAACCAGAATAAATACATAAGGTGCACAGGATTATATGGCCAAGTGTCGATTTTTGAGAAAATTTTAGGATTTTAAGAGCGCCTTATAGTCCTAAAAATATGGTATTTTTAGAGTATTTTTTTTACATTTTGGTGCACATGAACACTGGACATTTTATACAAATCAAACTACTTTCTATACTATTTCTTGTACTACTTCTGCTACTTCTCAAATTCCCCATTGAAATGAATGGGATTGAGATGAACAGAAAGTGCCACTCATGTTAGAAACTCCGTACTACAGTTGTATGTGGGAGGGTGAAACATCTTCTGTTCTCAAAGGGAGGGGCAGTATTTTAAGCAATAAAATGTGCAAATTCCAGTACAAAAATAACAACACATGATAACATATGTCCCCTGAGTACACGTACGTGGCTCTGGATAATGCATCATCCAAATGAGTTGTAAAAATGGTACGCCAAATTCTGCAAGCCAAGAGTCATAATATCCAGGAAACAATGCTGAACTTTTGATGATCCCACAGGAAGATTCTGCTAGTGGCTTCTTCCACAGTAATGTCAGAGCGTAGGAGGACACACAAAAGCAGCTGGGGCCTTTGGTATGCGGCTCCAGAGCTTGTAATTGTAAAATATCCCCCCATGGTCACCACTGTCAGAGGGCTAATGCTTCTGAAATGTGCTTTAAGAATAGGTTCGAACAATCAGAGATACAGACTGCCGGGTAAGTGGTGGGAACATGGGGGGATAAGACAGTGAATCCTCTGTAGTCTTGTGTACGGTGGAAGCTATAAAAAGATAAGAAAGAATTATGAAAGTACTAATGACACAGTGCATTAGCGTCATAGTGTTGGCTGAAAACATTTCAAGATAAAGGCAATGTTTCAAGGGCTTGTCGATGTTTTTAAATCACCAATGTACTTGTTGTTCATGCCCATAGACTGTTTATATAAATGGACTTTGATAACCCGGTAGCTGCCCCGTTCCAAATAGGAAACAAGCATGGGTGCGCTTCTGGCTCCATCAACTCTGGCTACAATTAATTTAGTATTTAGTTTATTTAATTTATTTTACGGGGACCATATATATGTAGCCTGATTCATCAGCTGGTTTCAACAAAGTGAAACTGGGCAACGTTAGAGTTTGTTCAAGCGACAGTAGGCGGGTACTTTTTTTCATTTAGCCAATCGCTGCTATTTGATCGTGACGTATGTAATGCACCGCTAATGAGCCTAACTGGTATATTAAGCTTTTCCCAAATCCTGTAGGAAGAAGGGCAATAACGTCTTTCCCCTCGATAAAATTCAATGAACATCCTCTTTGTTCCGGCTTTAAATGCTCGATCTCGGGAATCGTTGCACACAAAGAATGTATGGCTCTTCGATGATTGGCTGTTGCCCGAACTCGCACTTCCGGGGTTTTTACGAACCGTCTACTGTGTTCCGATTTCTGACCTAGTCGCTAGAAAGAAATGAAATTGATCGGAGGCACAAAGAAACTCCCTCTCTCTCTGAGTTAATTTCCATCTGCAGTCCCTGAAACATACAAAACATAGGATACACAAATAGAATGAAACAATGCAGTCTATATACAAACAGTTATAAAATGTATAATGACATTAAATATTTCTATACCATTCCCACCCTGCTTCATCTGTGCCTTTAAACAGATATGATTGTGTTAATAGTTATAAGCTGTTTTTTCCTACATTAGTTGGTACTTGTGCATTGTTAAAAGATATGTTCTTAACTGAGCACTAAACTTTTTGAAGTCTTTGGGCCTGTTTACACGAGAATGCTTGCGGGTAAAAACGACAAATTATTTTATCGGAAGTGCCTTTTGTTTGGACGTTGACCGCGTTATGGGGCTTAAAAATGCAAATATCTGAAACCACCCTTCAGAGAAGAAAGTCGTAACGCTTCCGTCTACACTGCCTAAGATGCAAAACTCTGGTCAGATCTGCTCACGTTGCATATGCGTTTACGTCACATACTTACAGTACACAGAAATAAACATGTCAGATGGCATGCATACCCAATCGAATTCCACACAGTTTTCCACTTTTTAAAAAGCAGTAAATGTCATTGTTTTGACAAGCTGGTAAGACTGGTAAGAGTTTATGTTATGACTTAGGGCCTGTTTACACAAGGTGGGTAAAACGACAAAATATTTTATCGGACGTGCCTTTTGTTTAGATGGTGACGATGGTGACGGCGTTTTGGACGGTATAAACACAAAAATGTCAAACCAACCTCCAGAGTAGAAAAGTTGAATACGCCATAGTGTTTCTGTCTACACTGCCCAAGACACAAAACTCTGGTCAGATCTGCTCACGTCACGTACGCGTTTACGTCACACACATCACCTACTTGCGTCACCACCGAGCCGCCTGTCATGCATACCCAATCGAATTCCACACACTTTTGCATCACTGTATGCACACAGATTTGCAAAAATGCTTGTCTAAACGCGGAATAAAAACTGAAGACGTGATGCCACTTTTGCATCTTCTGTTCAGACCATCATCATATAAACATAATCTTTGCTTAGTATTAAATTCTTAGTATTGAGAGACCGCCACCCCTCTCTCTGTAACTGCTGCTGTCAGGCTTGTCATTTTGGTCTTAAAATGTTTGTATTAACCTGCTCTACATGATCCGGGTGTTTTTATGTTGCTATTTTCTTCGGGTATGAAATTACAAAACAAAATGTGATGGACAATTGAAATCAACTGTTTATAAAATGGTATTCCTATATTTTTGTCTTCAGGGAGCAGATGAAACAAAGCGAGGAGCAGTTGGCATTGCACAAGAACTCAGAGATGGACTACAAAGCCACACTTTTAAGGTATGGTCTTCTAATTCCTGTAACACGCCCCATTCATCTTCTTGTCCAGCCTGGCCACAATGCCTGCAGCTACAGCCCCCCCTCCCCCTTCCTACCTCCGGTCCATCAGCGCTCTTATGGAGGTGGGGATATTAGTGTCAGGCCCGGTCTGCCCTTGAATCACTTGAGAAGATCTTAGGCTCCAGAAAGTGCCAGTGACACAGTGGAGAGTCTCGTGTGAGGCTGGGGCAGCAGATGGAAGCACTTCTTAGCTTGGCGCAGGCTAATGTTTCTCACACACACTCTCGCAGCGTGCAGTATACAACCATGATATGAACACAGACACATGTGCGCTCACGCCCATCCCACAGACAGCTATCGCCACCCTGGTCCTATCATCTTTCCACTGAAGCGTTGGGCGTGTGTATTTCACATACTATCTGATGCTATTCTTTTGCCAAGCCAGTGGCTGCCCTGGTGTGTTCAATTACGCCGGCAATTTCTCTCCCCTCCCACACAGCGGTCTCTGATCTCACCCTCTGGCTCATCCGCAGCTCAACATATGATAGCACTCGGGCCGGGGGGGTCCAGCTATTTCAGAAGACGTAAGAGGTAGGGGGGAAGCACCTCATCGCTCACACAACTGTAATGGGACACAACTATTGGGTAAATTGTCCGAGACTGGACACCATTATGCACAGGTCATTAGGCAGATTTTGTGCAAAGTGTTTTATATGAATCAACTGTTTTTAAGCGCTGTCTTGAACGCTCCATTGTACAGGATGGATAAGACTATAGAATATGCTCAAGGAATCCTCGCCTGATACTTGCTGCTCTAATATTCCTAAAGAAATATTTGTAACATTCATAAAGACGTGAACTCTCTTTAACATTCTTTGAAAAGATAAAGCCACAACACATTAAAAACAAGGCAGAAACATGAGGTCTAACTGTGTAAACACAGAGTGCATGAGGCAGAATTTCTAGTGCGCACAGGGGCCGGGGCAGTTTGGTTTGTTGACCCAACATCCAGTTTTTATGTAGCCTTGATGGCCTCATGAAATTACAACCATCATGTTCTTTGCTGAGTGCAAAGGAGTTCCTGACCTGCCCAGAATATGTTTTGGATGTGCTCTGGATTCCTCCCTCTGGGAAGCTGTTCTGGGCTTGTTTCTCTGGTAGAAGGCCTTAGGGTCAGCCCAGGACTAATTGGACGTGGCCTGCTGTTCAATTTCAACGCTACAGGACAGTCCAAGCTAAAAGGACGGCTCTGTGGAGAGGAAGCTGTGTGTCTCTTCTTTTACTGTCATAGATCTAATAGACCCTTCCAGTGTTAGTAAACATAACACCTGCAGTCTTAAGGCTGATACCATTACATTCATTAGCTCCTGTGTGTTTTCAATGTGGGACTTGAAAATACACACAAAAAAACAACACAACTATGAAAAACAAGGGCTGTCTGACACCCACTTGATCACATATAAGTAACACCAAAGCGTCGTTATTGATTGTTAATGTTAGTGGTTAGTGCCGAAATTTGTATACATGCTACTTTTATTTCTTCAAGCAGCACAAATCTTACATATATTTGTGAACTTTAGAAAACGGAGCTGGGAGTATTGACTCTTTATTACCTGTGGGCAAGTAACAAACATTCACACAAAGCCATTTGTCTGCACTACCTACAGATGTCAGAATGAATGTCTTTATTTTGCAGTCCTATTAAAATGAACGGGATGGAATGTTAATATGAGTACAAGGCTCTGTGCGCAACTATTCAAACATGTCCCTCGTGGAAGGGTCTATATATTTTCATGTGCTTTTATAATTTGCATCATCTGGACTCAAGCACACATTTGTTTCCTTCTGTTTATTGCCGACAGGGTGAAAAGTGAATTGGAGAGGACGCGTGAGGAGTGGTTGTCAAGCCAACAGAGATGTGACACATTACAGGAGCAGCTATCCACATGGCAACAGAGACTAGAACAAATGAGTGGGAAGTACCACGCAGCTGAGGAGGAAATGACTGGACTGAGGGCGGCTTTGGAGAGGGCCGAGCTGGATGCCAGGGATGCACGCCGAGACAGGTCATGATTTATGTCTTCCATGTCTGATCAGTCCACGCTGTTCTGCTATGAGGCCGTCCAACTCCACTCCCCATGCAGTAAACAGCTCATAGATCACTCATTAGTCAGGGATAAACATTACATCAGGACTGAACAACTGGCAGTCCAAGAATCATTCAAGTCAAATTCTGACATCTGTGTGATTGTTAGCAGAAAGGGGTTTGCTTGTCATGGGCCCTGCTTAAAATATACACAATAGGAAGTACTGAGAGATTTGAGATTCTTCTAGTAACACAGTGTAAGCAAATCTACAAGTCATCTCCTGTTTTGACTTTATTTAAATCAGGCTTTTGAAACTAAATCTGGTCTGTTAAAGTTTATTATCACTCACGTAGCTTTTGCTGACAAGAATGCGACTGATCACTGAACCAATAATATTAGCAGATAAATGTATGCGTGTACACTTCCAGTCAAAAGTTTGGACACACTCTCTCAGTCAGTTTTTTTTTATATTTCTAGGTTTATTACCTTCTGCATAGATATATGGAATTTTGTAGGAAAGTTACTTCATAATTCTATATATATATTGCTTCATATATTCTTCCGTATGTAGAAAGTAGTAAAAATAAAAAATAAAAACATTAAATGGAATAGAGTGTCCAAACATTTATTTTCTACATTATAAATCTATATATAATTAATGATGTTATTATTATCTATTTGACTGATTGTGTATGCTTAAAGAGCACCAATCAAAAGTTTGGACACTGTTTCATTCAGTGTTTATTTATTTATTTCCTTTTTGTTTACTACTTCTTACATTTTATATGCATACAGAAGTCATCAAACAAACATAGCAAGACATGTGGTATTATCTAATTAAAAAATTTAAATAACTCTACTAAATTTATATTAATATTTTCCACAAAGCAAAGAGTGGTTACTTTGAAGATTTGTATAAAAAAAATAATACTTATTTACCTGCTTTTAGTTAATTAGTTAATTATATCTTACTTCAAATATTTGATGTCTTCTGTATGTATTTAAATGTAGAAAGTAGTAAGTATATATTAAGGAAAAAAACTACTTTGAATTTGAACTTTGAATGGGACTTTTGCACCAAGCATTTTTGTATTTTGGTAACAAAAACCACAGTGTGACTGAACCATCAAAATAAATTTAAGTAGGTTACTGTGAACTAATATGGAAAGTCCCTCAGTGTTACTTACAGAAAAGTGCATGTTGAATCTAAAGTAAACTAAAAAGTGTGTGGATTAATAAAATCCATGGTGCATTAGACCTTTTGAAAATGCTTATGTTCTCTTTTTTGCAGAGAGCATCTGACACCTAATTCTTGCATTTTCATTGTGCTAATTTAGATTTATTTCCACATTATTTGAATTTGTACAGCACAAAAAAGTAAATCTTCCATAGGTGAACACCTTTTTAAGAAACCCAAATTAACCAAATTACATCCCCTTTTAGAGAAGTATAAAAATGTCTTTGAGGCGATTCAAAACAGAAAGTCCTCTACTTTTATGCCACTTATTAGTGATGATCAAATGACACTTGCTAAATGCCAAGCGTTGTGCCACTCGTGCTTTCCTCACAGAATTACAATCCGCCATGGGCTGTTCTGTCCCGGCTGCTGTAATAGATTGTTTTGTTCTGACACTAAATATTTACAGCGCCTTTGTGTCAAAGAGGACGCGAGGTGAGTACAGTCAACAATTCATGGCCAGCATTATGAGTCTATTCAGAGCCTTCTCTACTGCCTCTCTGCACTGGCTGAGTTGATCTCTTTTTGGGAGGTTGGACTGCTGCCCAGAATCTTACGTAAGCTGTTACCTTTTTTTCTATGTGACCGGTACATTCTGGCAAGCACGAGTAGCTCTGAATGCTCTAACATAGCTCTTTATAACACTTTGGTACTCCGAGTGCAGCTTTTGTCCTATGCAAAAGGCCATACAGCTCAGCATATCATTATTCAAAAGGGCAAAATTAACCACAAAAACAAATCGTGAGTGTAATTTCAATGGATGCAATTAGCAAATCACAAAGGCTTCCATTATTTAGATAATACTATGGAGACGTCTGAAAAAAAATAAAACTGCAAATTATTAAAGCTGCCTATACAGCTGTGTTTTTCGACCTTTGAGTTGTAGCAGACTTTTTGGCTGAAAAGAGTCTGCTCTCCCTCATCTGGATTTGGTATTAGCATTCTATTTACTGGCAGCAGTGGTAATTAACCTTGAAAATAACAATAGCCAGCTACTTAAGTAACCTGGACGGCATGCTGATATAAGCATGCCATTGTAATGATCGCAATTTGGTGCCAGGAATACTCATGGACCTACAAACAGCCCAGGAGTTCTACCTTTGACATAACAATCCGGGGAAAATTGAAACAGAGTGATTATGAGGCTCAGAGTTTAAGCACCTCATAAACAGGATTAAGGAAACAAGTGGAAAGCAAACTCCAAGTACGTTTTATATAAGAGATCAATGTTATATCGTGTTTAAAAGCTCAAAAGAGTCAATTTCGCATGATGTGTCCCGAATTTTGGACTTCCGGTCATCGCACAATACATACTGGGAAGGATCCTCCAAAATAGTGAGCATCAAACCGCCATGTTTGATTTCCTAGTGGGGTGCGTCTATTGTCAAAGCCGATCTTTTCAAGTCTTTTGAACCATATCGCTTTTGTTTCTGCTTCTGATATTGTCATATTTCAGTTATGGGATTCGGACATCGTAACTGTGTGGTTTTTGGATGTCCAAACAGCAGAAAACGTGCTTCGGAAGTTTGCGAACTTCATAAAGGCAAAAGGGAATCAGATCTGTGTGACTGCAAGCCTCCATTCAAACTGTTTCCCTTCCCAACGGAATTGAAAAATAGTGAAAGGCGAAGATGATGGGCAGTATTGATACACAAGAAGGACGAAAAAAGAAAACCTATTCATCATCCTGAGTCATCCTGAGTTTGCAGTGAACATTTTGTATGTGGAGCGCCATCAAAGCAAAATCCCGTTTGTTAAGCAAAAGGTACAGAAGACAAACAGGCTGAGTTCGCACTTTCTTGTTGGACTGACTTTACAGCAACATCACGTCCTGGTCGCTATGTAGTGGAAGGTGTTTCTTGGCAAACAGCTGGCGCCTTTCGCTTTGGCGTTGACTTTTTAAATTCGTAACCAAGGTTGAGCGAGGGATCGGGATTTGCTTTGATGGCGCTCCACATACAAAATGTTCACTGCAAACTCAGGACAGCCAAAGGTCACCTTTTTCGTCCTTCCTGTCTATCAATACTGCCCATCGCCTTCGCCTTTCACTATTTTTCAATAACGTTGGGAAGGGAAACAGTTTGAATGGAGGTTTGCAGTCACACACATCTGATTCCCTTTTGCATTTATGGAGTTTGCAAACTTCCGAAGCCCATTTCTCAAGCCGTTTTCCGCTGTTAGGACATCCAACAACCGCACAATTACGATGTCTGAATGTCATAACTAAAATATGACAATATCAGAACCAGAAACAAAAGCGATATGGTTCAAAAGACTTGAAACGATCGGCTTTGACAATAGACGCATCCCGCTGGGAAATCAAACATGGCAGTTTGATGCTCACTTTTTCAGAGGACCCTTCCCAGTATGCATTGCGCGATGACCGGAAGTCTGAAATTCGGGATGCGTGTATTGCAATTCACAACGCATTTTCTTCTATATTTGTTCAGCCTTTTTATTCAATATTGTAGGACTCTATCTTGATATTTGGACGAGATGTTACAATTTCCGTTGGAGATTGAGTAAAAGTCACAGAACAGTGGGACTCAGATGAGAATGCAGATAAAAGAGGGGTGATGGCGCTGAGTTTTTGTGCATGCGTCCTACAATAACGTCTCTTTGGAGCTCTGAATAAAACAGAGACCACACGCGACTCTGCTGGTGACCTCTGCTGAACTGCGCTGACTCGCTAGCGGCTTAGCGTGCAGTGGATGAGACCAAAACGTTCCCCACATCAAATAAAAGAGACTGCACTGCATAAAAGGAAGATAGTTTAAATGACTCGGATTACGAATTATTGTGTTGAATGGAGTATATTTGGCGAGTACATTTGCGGCTTTGTCAATGCACTTTATATGACTGTTTTTAAGTTAAGTATTTAAAAGGCCAAGGTAAGTCTCCCATTCTCCAAGCTAAAATAGTAAATTATTCCAACAAAATTAATGACTCTACCATTTTCAAGCAAATATTCTGTTCATAGCAGTTAAAAAAAATTATGGGGCATGGTTCAATTGATTTTAAAGCCAAATACCAGTAATGGAAAACTCATTTTTGGATATCGATTTTGGATGTTATAATATTGTTTCCTCATCAAAAACATGGCTAGAGTTGTGTTTTGTTTTATTCACACATGTTTAACACGCAAACCCTGCATATTTTAGTGTTTTATCTGAGAGAAGAGCTATGTTCCACCTTGTGATGTCATGTAATTATACAGGAAGTGCTCCACTGTATTTTTAAACCCCATACACCTTCACTAGTATCATTTGGATAACTACAGCCCTGGAATTTCCAAACTCTACTGAACAAAAGGTAAAAGGTAGCTGTTCCCTTGAAAACTATCGCTTGGAGGTGGAACATTTTAAGCTTTGTTGATGCTGACAGACTAATAATAAAGAATTACCCAACATGTGTTTGATGAAGTAACATCATTATAATTTAGACTTAGACTTAGACAAACTTTATTGGTCCACAAGGGAAATTATTTTGACAGAGTAGCTCACAAATCACAATATAGTACAATAACAAAGAGCAAAAATATAAATGGTAGATATGTAACAATAACCAAAATATCATAATATCGCATTGTCGAAGTTCTCACAATAACATCGTGGACCATTACAATATATCGAATTACAAGTCTCTTTGCTTAAATTAATAGTTATGGTGCAGCAAAAAAAGACAGAGGGAACTACATAGACCATGATCCTTTGCTCCATTTCAGTGTAGACTACAAGAAGAA